TAGAACAGCCTTACCTGGAGATGGAAATAAATTGTTGCACAAGGGCCACTGAAAGGAGAAAAATTCTGTATCCAGTCATTTGTGTTCTTTAACAATAGACCTTGTCTTCACAAGTGTTTACAATCAAAATAGAATCCTCCCCCCTTTTGGGAGTAGGGCCCTTTAAACTGACATTTATATAATACATTATTGAAAAGAAAATATTTACCCTTCCTGACTTACCATCTGGTGTCCTTTAAATACTAAAAATTAACATAATGAAAAAGAGCCTTAAATTCATGTGAGTTTAAACTATTTAAAAATCATTGCAATTAGAGATCAACAGTGAATCGTACTCCCTTTAATATTTTTTTATTTCACGTTTCTTTAATCACACCTGTGACAATATTGCATTGCAAAATAGTTGCACAAAAACATGTGAACAACATATTTATTGATACATAAATAGATAATGTTTAAAATTCTTAAGTGCTATTAATTATACAGTTATTGAAATCCATAAGGATCAAAGGATTTTATATAAGAGGGATTTCACATACAGCTTGGATTATGTTGCTAAATAATAGCACAGTAGTACTTCTTTAGCATTGTAAAATAGCTTAGAGAGGAGTATGATGCCTATAGTTGGTGTAATGCATTGGTAATTAAGAGGGTGTGAGGTTAAGCTTCATTAACTGCTGTGGGATTGTATCTTGGATTTTATTATCCCCTAGAGAACATAAGAAGTGAGAGAGGTCAAACTGTTAGAATCTGATTTTGCTTCATGCATCTGCCAAAACAAGGCAAGCGAAGCAACGTGGCAGCAAACACGGAAAGACCTGGATTGCTGGCAGATATGGGTTGTACACCATTTTATTACAAAGATAAGAGATTTATTAGTGAAGTAAATTATTTCATGTTTGCAATAAAACCTTCATAAGCTTGGTTTGCAGGAAACAAAATTATTTTAATTGCATTGTCATTTAGAATTAGTGCTTTAGAAAAACTTTTTTTTTTTTCAAAATTTCTTGTTTTAAAACAGCAACAAACTTCCTTCTCTCTTTTTTCCTTCCGACTACATCTCACTCTAGCCACAGACGAATGCCCCAGCCAAACCACACTTAATAACTTTAGCACTTGTCTGCCTTTTTATATATTCATGCTGCATAGCAAAGACTTTAGTTGACCCCAAGAAGTGTTGTATATTTTCTTTTTTTTATTATTTATTTTAACTAATGCACTGCTACATGCTTTGTTTTTTTTATATACCCTATGAGAGATTTGGGTCTTTTTAGCCTGGGAGAATGTAACAGTTCTCAGGAGTTGACACACTGATGCCACAAAATTGTCAGTCCCAAAGCTTTTCAAAGCTATATGATGTGGAAGCTGAGATATTTTTAAGTAGAAATACATTAAATAGAGATATTATAGGCTGATAAATCAATTTTTGTTTTCTTAGTCTTTTGTTGAAATAACAAACACTTATATTTACAAATTCTGGACGAAATTTTGGAAGCAACTTTTAAACTTTTTAATAATAGTATAGTCTTTTGAAATTCTGATTTTGCTTCTAAGAATATAAATTTATTTAATCCTTAACAGACTCACAATCCCAAATCCTTTTTTACATTATGATAATTTCAGCAGAATTTAAGTGCTTTTTATCTATGGTAGAGAAGTAGAGTTCTCAAACGTAGTGATTTAGTAAGACTGCTAGAAACTAGTGTCTTTGTTTCTCATCTTGTAATGAATCTGGAAGAAAGGGATTTGTGCTAAAGCCCTACTCTGAATCTCCCACACACAGATATTTTGAGGAGAAGCTCAGGCTTAGCCATCTTCAAATGTCACTCATAGAAACCATGTCCTCCACTGCTTGCTGTATACTGTTTTCAGTTCAATTTTTGGGTAGCTGTGCCAGAAGCCTGTGTTTTGTGGCTAGTTTGGCTGCTGTTCTGCTTCATCTTTCCATAAATCTTAATTTTCCTTCTGTTTTTAAGAATAATCTGAGAACTGATGAGTAATTTGTAATTTGTGCACAGTAATGAAACCTTTCATGACATTGAAGAGTTGTGAAGTTATATCCAGCTTATGACAACTGGAGACTTTCTCACTTAGGTTCTTCTCAGGCATGGTCAGGTTTGGAAAGAGCTATTTCCTTGAAACAAAATCTAGTTAAAAAAGATTTTTGAAAATTATGGGCTGGCATGTATGAGTCAGTACATCCTAAGGAAAAACAACATTCACGATCCCCAGTGTATTCTGTGTAGTCTTTTACCAGGGTAGTGCATGTTGGCTTCTACTCAACATAGACATACCTTCAAACAATAACTACCTTCAAACAGTAACCATGTGTTTCACCCCTGTTTCATTCAGTTTAGTGTAAATGGGAGGGAACAAGGGGAAGCAGAAGCTGGGGTAATAGTGATAAAGTTAGGATGCAAACTTGAAAGTAAACAGTCTTTATTCGTTCTGTTCATTAATCTTTATCTAAAATGTGCTCAAATTACAGATATTCTCAGACCATGAATAGTATTGTAATTTTTTTTTCCTGTTTGTACTTAAGTACAACATCTTGGAATATATTTAACCAAGTTAATATAAGAGGTGGAGCTCAAGCAGTTGGTCCTCAAAATACCATTCAACTCCAAAGGCAGACTGCGTTTTCCAGATTGCAGCTGAATTATGTACGAAGCCTCCCAAGAGGCCATAAAGTTCACAACCATCACATGCAAGGATATGATTCAGGATATGTTTGCCTTAGAGAAAAGTGTTTGTTGGGATAGAAAATTATATGTCTGTGAGACCTAATAGTCCCAGAAATGTCTTAAATCTCAGTGCATCATGTGAACATGTTTCTTGGATAGGGATAAGAACATGGTACATCTGAGAAACATATTCTTCAACTAAGCGTGGTAGTTATTAGGTAAATGCATTTTGGAAGAGGAACAGAGAAATAAGAGTTGCTCTTGATATGAGAGACTTCTTCAAGTGCTCCTGGATCCTTCTGTGGGGCAGCAAGGGACAAGACAGCATAAAACAGACCTAAGCTGATGCATATGCTGACTGCCATGGTAGTGACTCACAGGTTTTCTCATGTTGCTTTGTGTGAATTTAGTCATGTTTAAACAACTGCTTTATAATGTTAGGTTTTTTTCTTATATCCAAATAAAACCTCTTTATTATGTCAGAAGTTAAAAGTAAACTATATTGGCAAAAAAGGCTATTTCGGATGGTTTTCATCTCTGGAGGCCAGAATCTTTATCAGCTTCAGGTGAAACCATTTTTTCCTTGATCTCTTAATCTGCTTCATTCTGAACAACAGCTAAGGCATACCACAGTGCCTAATTGTGTTGCACTGATAGTGTGTTGGTCTCTGATTGTTTTGGACTGAGCATCTCGGGTGTCAACAGCCAGTGGTTGTAATGCCTCCCTTCCACACAGTGCCACGTAGGAAGGTTTTGTTCTGTGTTTGACTGCAAAGCAGGAACTTTTTTCAGTGTTACATGAGGGTATTGAAGTAGCTTGTACTTTATCAGTAATACTTGGAGAACCTCTCACCCCTTATTATCTTGATGTCTGTTCTATTTTAGCATCAAATACAGTCTCTGTGTAAAACATACATCATCTGTGATTATATAAAAGCAAATGTATATAGCTAAATGTCTCTATCTCAGATTTGGTTTTGCCAATAATTATATAATAACAATGAACCGGTAGTACAAGTGACAGTCATTTGCAGTGATTTTAGAGGAGAAAAATATTAAATAGCTTTAAGAAAATATTGGTGCTGTTTTACTCTTTACTTACAGTAATCCAGAACGGATTCACTTGAACTTCCGTTGTCTTCTTTCTATGTGTGTCTGTTTGTACCATGTCTGCCTACATAAAGCCATGAACATCACTTAGACGTTTATGGTCAGCATCAGCTCTGCCTGTGTCCAGTGTTTCATATGTATCCTGTACTTTGATCAAGATTCTTGTAAAGTTTTCAAATTTAGGGTTTTTGTGTCTTCACACCTTATACCTTGTAACAGAGAGACTGACTAGCTCTATATATTTTTACCATTGAGACCACAGCTCAGTTCTCTCTAAAGGGTCTTTGCTTAGTGAAAACTTAGTTTTTAAGTAAGTCTAGATCTGCAACTTACATAGATGGGTGATTAAGTTGGGTCAGAAAATTTGGTTACACTTATTCCTCTAGTAGATGTAGAAGCCAATGCATAAATTCTGAGTACTGTGCTTGACATCTACCCAGTGCTGTTTACTTTTTCAGCAGTGCAACAAAGGTAGAAAGCAGAAAGATTGGAAAAAACCATTGTTCCTAATCTAAGTCTAAGTCAAAGCTGAAGTTCTGGCTTTGTGGAACAATTAAATCCACCTGTGCACAATGTTTTGGTTTTGTTTTGTTTTGTTTTTTAAAAATGCCAGAAACGTTTGCATTAGAAACTTTTTTAAAATTCCAGAATTAAATATTTGCCCCTTCCTTTTACTCCCTTGTTTGTGTTCATGAGGTATCTGTCATCAGTAAATATCATGTCTAACAGCAGAAGAGAAAATGCAAACCATCCTGTTACTGTTTTCAGCCTGTGTCTGTAGGCTGTTGTGGTCTGTTGAATACTTTTGAAAGATTTATAGAAGCTAACAAAGAAAACTCACTGTGTCGGGAACTTACCTATTCTCAGAAATAGAATACTTTTGATCAACCTTTAAAGGAAGATTTATAAATAAGGAATATAGATGCTGCTTAAGATGTGTTGTTTGTGTAGATTATACAATGTGGTGTTTCCATTCTTCATATTTGTATAAATTTTTTTTCCCATAATAATTGCATAGTTTTTTTCACACTCGCTGTTAGTAGAAGCCAACCCCTCAGAAGTTATTTTAATCAAGTTTTGTTACAGATTTTACAACTGCCCATTATATTAAGGTAACTGTATTAGCTAACTTTTGAGGGGGGGATAAAAATCTGAACTGACATTTCTGCTGTAGATAACTGACATTCTTTTGCTCTCCACCCGTAGGAACTTCCAGCGCCTTTGCTTGATGATACCTGTAGAAATGAATTGGGAGAAGAAGCAACAGCTGTTAAGTCTGAAGATTTTCAGGATTCTATGAAAATAGCCTGGCGCTACCAAAATTTACCAAAAATTGAGGTAATCAGTATTTCATACTGTTTTTCCTCTTGCAGTCAAAATATTGCTAATGGATGGTGTTACAGGATTCCCTCCCGAGGGTAAATTGTCATATGCCACTATATTTTTTGATACAGAGAGAAAGGAATTTAAGAGTTTGCAGCAACTGGTAAACTTACTATAGACAATAATAATTTTAAAGTAAAAAAATTAAAGTTCTATGGGATTTTTCAATGAGTGTTATTAAATTGAGTTATTAAATTGAGAATAATTTGGTCACTCACAAACTTTGCCCAAATTTAGTTGTACACAAATTACTTAAGTAGGTTTAATCAACAGTACTTACACGATCTCTGTAGTGAAAGTACTGTTGACCTGCTTATCCATGTGCATAACAACTAAAGTAAGCTCTTGAGATTGTATCAGCTTCTCTGTCACTAGAAACTAATCACTGTGCAGGGAGAGTATAAGAAACAAGCCCAGTGGTCACTCTTTCAGAGTTTACAGTTGTTAGTGTTTTGCAAATAATATGTCTCCCGTGGCTGGTGACTTACTCATTTAATCCAGTGGCACAATCAACCTTTAATAGAATTACAGCATTTTTGACTATCCAGAACAAAAAACTTGTTTTGTCTCTACATTTTAGCCTACATTTATAAATTCTAGTTTAGATGTAGTCATAACTGCCTAGTAAGTTCTGTTGTATTCTTAAAAAACATAATTGGAATGTGACAAAATGATCTTACAAGGCTTGGCATGTTTGGTTTTCTGTGAAATTGCACAGACATGGCTGTGTAGTTGTGTCAGAAAAGACTTATATATGGTGACATGCCAAATGCAGCAGCCTCCAGGGTAATCATATAATGTTATCAATTTTATTATTGTGGACCTTGCTATGCCACTCTGAACCATCCCCAAAATAATTTGTCTTGTTTAAAATCTAGCAGAATTCCTCATACATAGATATGGAAACAATTGCATGTTGTTAACAAACAGTGTCCTGATGTTTCTTTCAAAATAGAAAATCATATAAATAATCCAGTTAGGTGTGAACTCAACTTCTCTAATTTCATAGAAGTAAACACTTCTTCCACTAATATAATATTTCTCTACAATGCATAATGTACTTGTCCTCAATTATTGAAATTTGATTATCCAAGACAGAATAAAATAGTCCATCTTTTGTGGGGTGTTTCCCTTATTATCATTGTCACTTTCTGAACTGGATGCTTATCATCCTGAATAGTTGAGGTACAATATTTTTTATGTATAAGTTCAATTTATTTAAAAAATTAGAAATTGCAAATAAAAGTCTAATTCTTAAGCTATCTATACCTAAAATTCCTCTAATTAGTGAAAAATCATTTTGAAATTGATATTTTTCAATATTTTATAACACATTTCTAAAATTTTGGTGCTGTGTTAAATTAATTTGATTGGTGAATGTAATGCATTGAGTAAAATCTGATGTTGCCTGGATGTTTAATACACTTAGTACTATCATTTAATTAACAACTTTGGTTGTGATTTATTCTTTAAATATTCTTTTGGCAAAAAAAAACCAACCATTGAATAAAGTTTCAAGGCATATTTTCCAAACTGATTGAACTAATAAACTAGTGCATTTTCAAAAGCTACTGTCAAATAGTTTCAAGTGTGAAAGAGAGAAAATAGCTTTGCTTTCAACTAGAACTCTAAACTTATTAGCAGAAAACTTTTCCATCCAATATCTGGCTTTACGTGAAGTAAGAATGCTGAGTAAAAGCTGTCTTTGTGGTACTCTTGATGCCTAATTTGGTTTTTATTTCTAAGTAATAAAAGAGATTTTCATTACTCTTCATAAATATCACAGTTTCTCTTTTCATAGTCATATACCTTGTATGTCAGAAAAAGACAGAAGCTTTATAAGAAATCTGTCAGAGTAACAGGTCACGTTGTGCTTGACGTGCCTTGGCCAGTTTGTTACTTCCATCTGTATCAGAGGTTAATTTCATTTAAACTTTGGAGTATATGGATAGCCTATTTTGCAATGCAAGAGTGTGGTTTGTTTCTTTTTTTTTTTCTTTTTTTTTTTTTTGCATGAACTGCTTATGTTCTTGGGGCAATATATAAACTGTCACAGCATGAAATCAATTTTCTGCCTTGATTCATCCTAAATCTGAGATTTCTAGCACATTAGTATTGCAATTAGAAACATTAACAGCAGACGGTAGCATAAAAGCACTCTCTGCTCACTGACAATGTAGTGTATTTCTCCTTGTGCAAAATAGGGATCCAGGAAAGAACAGGCTTGAGCCTCCAGTCCACTAATAAATTTATCAGATCAAACTTAAGAGGAATGGAAAGTCTCTGCTTCGTACTCTCCATGGTCATTCTGCTAAGGCAGATTATTCATGCTTACTTGATTCAGGTAGGCTTTTTGCAAGCTTCCCTGCTAAGCCTGGGAATGCACTACATTGAGGGCTATTCATAGGCTTCTGACATAGACCGAGCTTTTATTGCATGGTGTTTTATTATAGCCAAATCCTAGTCTCCACCCAGTTTGTAGGCACTGTGCTTATTCTTTTGAATCAAGAGAGGTTATCACCTACCTTAATCCATGCAGCAGGGTGGATTAAGGACACCAATGTGCCTCAGGATTCTCAAAGAGGATCCTGGAAACTTCTTGTTTCTTCTTTTTTGCTGTCTTTACTAAACTCTATTGGGCCTCAGTAAGGATTTGCATCTGAAATGGGCAACCTGGAGCTTTTCTCAATGAAGACATCAGATCAAAGTTCAGTTAGTCAAGGCCTTTCTAAAACATTAAGGGGGCTTGGAAGTACACAATAAAAAGATGAGCTCTGGCAGAGATTGCAGTAAAAACATTCTGATCTGTAATCCGGATAAAGAATAGATTATAGGCCAAAGAACAGCCCCTGTTTAAATTGCTTTCAGAATCCTCATTTTAAATAAAGTTACATTTACATTAAAAATATTTAGATTTTGATAGATTGTTACATTTGGTTGGACTTCCTTCTTTAAAAATTGGATGCTGATAAATAAATTGGAACACTGACTTAGAGAATGTAGTTTTGTCTTTTTTTGAGTAAAACTGATATCCTATTCTGACTAGATATACACAAGCAATTCTGTGGGTTTTTTAATTAAAAAGTAATTATTTGTTTTAAAGAAAAGTTTAGGGTTTGTTTGGTTATTCTATTGGTTTTGTAGGAAATATATTGTATTATTGTATCTATATTTATATTTTCTGATAACTGACCAAGGTTAACATCCATTAATCAAATAATTTCAAAATGTTTACTCTACATCACATTATTCTAATTAATCAGAACAGTTTAATATTTTTTTTGTAATCTGAAGCATGATAATAAAATTGTAGAAATACATAACATGATTTATTTCAGAAAGCTAGCTATAAATACATGGCCATGTCTGGCATGTCTATACTCTTTCTCTTTTTACTGCTGTAGTATTTATTTTATTAGCAAGAACAAGGTTTATGAAAATCACAAGTGTTCTGTAATAATTGCAGTTGGAACTAAATAATTTGTTGCTCAACACACAAAAAATTATTGGGATCTCATTGTTGTCATAATTCAGTATACCTATCATCATTCCTGTAGATGAAATTGGAACAGAAGTTGTTTGAAAGAATTCTCATTGCATACACACGAAACCCTGCTCAACTTTCAGGCAGCAGATAAAATGAATATATTTGCCTGCTTAAAAGAAAAATCCTTTTATAGAACATTTTAAGTTGTTACAGAACCTACTGAGAAACTGGGGTCATTTCTAGTCACTTTTCAAAACTAATTCCATGCTTTTAAGTATAAACAAAATAACATTTCGTTTTATCTACCAATCCAAACTTCTCTTCAGAACAACCTTTAAAAGGCATTGTGTTCTGCAGTGTGAATATGTCTTCAACATCACTCTTACTTTCATCTCTTATCTTTTCTGTCTCACCTGTTGAGATATTTCATTTTATTTAAATACTTTATCACTTAATATGCGAGGTGGCTCTTGGCTTTTATGGGGGATTCAGCTTATCAGTAAGCTTTGGAGTTGGGAGATAGAAAGATGACTTTAAAAGATTTTTGCACATTCCTTCATTGTACAACGCACACTTTGGATGCAGTCCAGGCTTAGGGTAGTTGTCCTCAAAATAAACTAGTAGGTGATCTTTCTTTTGACCTGCAAACCTTTAAAAGTCTAGGATCCAGCACTTTTCTTGATCCAGGCATCATACCACTTAGAAATATTGTGGTTTTGATTGATACTTGTATTACAGAATTTGTTTGGTTATTCTAAATGACCTTTATTTTACCTCAGAGGAGTTAGAACAGTGGATGAGAGATAATCTGATCAGGAGCACAGTGGTGTTTGTGCCATAACCTAAGGATAATTTTCATATTGCTTTGGTAATCTATTACTCCTTTACAGTGTGTACTTTAAAAAATACTAGTTTCTTTCAAGCGTATTGCTAGTTAATTATTTTCTTTTGACAGGTAATAATTTAATAGGTTATTGTAAATCAGTATTGTTTTTTCCACAGGCCAGCCCAATGACATCTACAAAGTTTGGCCATTATTATGATATTTCTAAAACAATGTCTCCAGAACTGTGTCAGTCCATAAAATGGCACAGTTTTTACCTTCCTGAAGAATTATCTTTACAACCTAAAATGAAAACATGGTAAGTTGCAATACCACATGCTTCTGTTGTGTGTTCAAATTTTGTCTGCATATTAGCAGTAAAGGATATTTTTCCATCTACACTTGCTGTGAAAAAATCTTGTAGCCACACATGGCTCACAAGCAGTTCAGCGGTGGTTCTCGTGTCAGTGCTACATGCCATGACTGGCAGCAAAGCTACTGTGTCAGAGAGACAGCTCAGTCTCCTGACTGCTCTGTGGAGGAGGAGGAGCTGTGGGAGGAAGCAAGTTGGCAGGGGCGATGAAGGCAGACATTACTAGGACAGCCTAGGACACAGCTGCATGTTCAGTCCAGCCTTACTGACAGCTGAGTGTGGGGACTGGAGAAAACTATTACAATCTGTCTGTGAACTACTCCCTGAGCACTGCGTCCCATCAGCTTTTGGAGATGTATGAGTCAGGTGGCTATCAGTATTAGGACAATATCCATACAATTTTTAGGGCTAAGAAGACAGGGCATCCTTGACCTACATAGCTTAGAATGCTATATCAGATTAGTTTAGTGTGTGACTTTTACTTCTTACATCCTACAGCTTCACCTAAGGAAAATACAAAATACTGTGAATAAAATTACAATCACGAATTATGTCTTACACAACACCCCTAATTCCAGAGAAAATCATAAACTCTTTTCTGAATGAATAACTTAAAATATTTTATGTCTGTCTATTAATGAATTAAGGAAGACCAAGAGAAAATGAGTGACAGTAGCAAAGACTCATATAAGCCTGTAGCACACATGTCCATTGTGTCTTTCTTGGAGACATTTCAAGTCAAGTCAAACATCAAATACGGGCTAGCAATCTCTTTGTTCAGCCCAGTCACTTTTTATGTAATAGCTAGTTTTATATATTGTAGGGTATAGGGACAACTCCTGGAAGTAGTAGTACAGTATGCTTTATTGTGATTGATTTTCGTTATGGTACAGTCAAATATAGAAACGGAGAGTTATGAAAGAAGTGCAGTATGAGGCGCCTTTCTTAGAGCTCTAGAAAAGCAAAAGCCAGATCTCTTTGTAATTTGTTTCTGTGATCAAATGTCCCTGTTTTGTAAAGTAAATTCTTGTGATGTTGTAAAAGAAAAAAATACACTTTCAGGAGAAAGCAGAGAATTTATATTTTATTCTTTCTATAGTAAATATTTGAACCAACTTTTTTTTTTTTTCCCCTCTTAATACTTATCCTGAGCAATGGGTATCTTTATTGCAGTCATAATGTCAAATTTGGAAAAAAGTGGAAGAAATAATTTCATGCAGATTAGATAATAGAATTATGATTCAAGAAGATTTCAGTTGGTTAATCTGGAATAAACTACATAGAGTTCAGTGAAGACATGCCAAATATCATACTAGTAGGAATAATGAATTGAACAAATAAAATAGTCTGGCAGGTCTCTAGAAGAAGATCTGGGATTATAAAGTAGCTTGGACACAAAATATATTAGCAGTGTTGAGAGATTAATGCTACTGAAAAGCATCATTTAAAAAACATGGAGGTGATAAACTGGGATTTAGTGTGGAAGACATGCAAAGTACTTCTGTTCTGCTCAGCCATAATGAGACTGGCAAGTTTTTGATAGCATCCTTCACAAAAACTCTGGATCACTTAGAGAAGGTTGTGAAGATAGCTATACATCTAGAACTAGGATGTATGGCCCGTGACAGAAGAATAAAAGTTCTTAGACAAATCTAAGCAGAGTCTTGAAGTACATTAAAAACTGACATACAGAGGGTAGGTAACTGTTGTCTGCTGAAGGAAAGACAAGCAGTGATGGGGTACAGTAAACTCTAGACGTAAAAGTGCAGGCTGGAAGTAAAGAGATATTTTTCTAATGATTAGCACGAGAAAAAGTTGCCTTGCAGACACAGGTTGGGAGTATTGTAGAATCTCCATCACCGAAAATTTTTGAAGACAAGTTAGGTAAATATCTGTCAGAGATGGTTTAGACGTAGTTCATCTTGCCTTGGGGCAAGAAGATAGACTACCTGACCTCTTGAGGTCCTTTTCATCCCTTTCTTCTGTGGTTCTTTAATACATATTAGTTACAGTGTATTAAATCCAATACTAGGTATGAATGTTACCAATTATTTCACTGCTCTCAAAACGTTTATGCTTTTACAGAAACCCAACAGGCTTGTACTGTATTTCTTACAAATATCACGATGAAATTCTGAAGGAAACATTCCTTTCTCAAGGAATGAAAAGAAGCTCACAATCCTGTCAGGATGATTTCATTAAAGAAAGTTTATAAAAGGCAGAGGGAAAGGATATTATTTTGTTTTACATTACTGTTTGGAAAATCAGTACAGTGCTTCTGGCTTCTAAAGCTAACTTCAGTATATTATAGAGTAGTAAAAATTTCTGTTCTCTTGATTAACTAGACAATGATTTGAAAGAAAGTAGTATGATAGTCACAGTTAACCCTTCCAGCAGAAGTCAACAATTTATATTAGACCTCATCTCTGATTGCCTGAAAGTCCCACTGAGAGCTTGAGGTAATCTCTTTTACTCTGTGTTACACTGAACTAGGAGCATGGACTCTTCTCTTCTTTGGAAAGGGATGGGGAACAAGAACAATCCTTTTTTCTCCTTTCCTTTCACCAGTCAGGGATGTAACAATAAAAAACAGATTATGCAGTTAAAGCAGAAAATATACAAGAAAAGTAATGTGCCACATTTTCCGGTACAGCTTACACTCTCCTGACAGAAACAGTGAGTATAGTGAACATACCTTTTACAGTCCCTGGAAAAACAGTGACACATCTTTTCATAAGCAAGGTCCTTTGTTGTAATGTTTTGTGGAATAAGAACCATCTACTTGTAAAAAAAACCCAAATCATCTTGGTGCTTCTAATTCTCCAGCATCACATTAAGAAACCTATTTTATTTAAACTGTTTGTCAGTGAGTGAACTGTTTCTGTAATTGTAGCTGATGTCTATTGCAAGATGATTACAGTGCTTCCCTTGCAGGATCAGAGATGTAGAGGCTTTATATGGGCTGGAACCTCTTGGCCCTTTTTATAAATCAATGTATATCTATACATATGTCCCTCTCTTCCCATCCACACAAGCAATTGGCTTCTTTACAGACTTGCAAAGAAAGGAGATTCTTTGATTAGACAGAACTAAGTTATTGACTAGCCTTTTACTTTGCAATTAAAGATCAGAATTGAAGGTTATATACAAAATCTGTTCACCTTAAAGTTTGGATCAATCTTTCTTTTCTTTCCTGTGTCTTTGCACACGTGTGTGTGTGTGTATCTGCTTTTTTGATGGAAGGAGATGAGTAGTACTGTGTTTGCTCTCCTTTCTGTAGTTGTGGTACCTGGTGGCTAAATTAGATTAGTGGGTCCCCTTTTGGATAATCACTGAAGATGGGCAGAAGTTAATTGTCCCATGATAAACATTAATTGAAAACAGATTGGGAAGTCTGTTCTCCTAAAGGAAGTAGTAAATGCAACTGAGTGTTTGGTGCCAAAAGAAGGCATAAACCTCCTCTTTCTTATCTCATTATTTTTTATGTTAGGGAAGGGCAGTTATGTCCTGGCCCTAGTGCTAGGACCAGGTTAATGGTGTTGGGCAGCTGACAGCAACTGTGTTCCAGTTGGTGTTGCTAGGCTATTCTGGTGTCCTTTTCCTTGCATCGCTAAAGCTGGTACATAACAGGAAGGCAGAAATATCCTGTGTGATACCTCTGTGTATCACAGAAAAGGCTTATTTTCTACCCCTCTACTTCTATCCTTGTTGTTCAGTTGCAATTACCAAAAGAGAAAGTTTGATAATCAATGGAACTAAAATAATTAAGCTGTAGTTTTTCAATAATACTTGTAATTTGTACCTTAAGAATGTATGTGCTTCTGAAAAAGAAAAAAATTATCTAGAGTCTAGATTTACCGATAAATTTAGATAAAACAGGTTTAACTGTCTTGCCTAATGGGATCTCCTTATACATAATAAGGCTATTTGTCATGCCCTTGATAACCTAACCTTTGTTAACTGCTTAGAAACTATCAACAGAGAAGTCAGAGGCTCTGTTGTAACCAGGATACCTTCTTGCCAGCTCCTGCTTTATCCATTACTAAATTGCTAAACAAAAAAAAGAGTAAAGAAAGAATTGTTTAAACTCATTATCAGAATTAAGTGATGTTTAGTAACAAAGCCAAAAAAAGACCAGAAATTAGAAAATAAGAAATATCTTATTTCCTTTCTTAAATATTATGACAAACATTGCCAGAAGGGTAACGCAACTTCTTTTTATAAGTAGTGTTTCCACAATATTTTTCATGTCCTTATTTACATAGCATTTTTCAAATTCAAGCCATTAGTATTTTAGCAAGAAGTAGAAGAGCACCTGCTTTTACATTTTACATAAATCTATATGCATTATATTATTTTCTTTAATTCTTTCTTTGCTGCAGATCTTTTTCTAATGGATTAATTGAAGATCTCTTTTATTTGTTTGGTTTAATTTTGGTACCCTTTAATTCTGCTTATGCTGTATGTATTTCATTCTTTTATCCACTAACTTAAAAGCAAGTTAGTAACAAATCAGGAACTGGCAAGTATTGTGATTGCAGTATATTCTCTGGCATCCCTTTTGCAACTAAACACTAGGGAAGTTATTGGCTTCATAAGTGAAAATGTACTCTTTTCTGTTTGAGATGCTCTTTTTTGTATAGCAAGGCAAACTTTCACATGTTAAATATCATGTTGAAATTATATATTGCCAGTTATGTTCAGCTGTGAATTTCGTAGATAGTATTAAATTGTTAAGGTACATCAGTTTAACATCAGTAGCCTTCTAGGGTACTAGATCTGAAAACAAACAGTTTAATTTTGAAAATCTCTTATTTATATCTGAGAAAAATCATCTGTTAGTGTTTTCTGACATTGAATATTTCAAAACTAAAAATTATTATGACTATATGACTTTTTTGATTGTGGATGTTTATAACTTAAATATATCATTGGGGGATTGGGTTGATAATATTTTCTTGAAGGAAATGTAGAATTCTGAGTTAAAGCAGTGGTGTAAGAGATATTTGCAACTCTTAAGTGCTTCTCAGAAAAGTTATCTTCTCTCCCGTGCAAAAGTATGAGAGCAAGTTTATTTAGTTTTATTTAAGTATTCATTAGTACAATACATTTCAATAACAGTTTTGGCTCTTAATAAAGTTATGGGAATAGTTTCATTAATGTTTGGACCAGGGATCTTACAAGGTCCCTTCCAACCTGGGCTGTTATCAGACCAGACATATAAAATGATTGGAGAAAGTAAGAATATTTTTAGAGGCAAAATTTTCAAAATAGCCTGTTTTTTCCCCAAGAAGTAAACACAAAGGTTTGAATCTACAACTCTTGGTGGTAGTTAGTGAGACTAGAAGGAAAAAAAAAGATAGAAGGGCTTAAACTCTTCCTGAAGTTAGGAACCTACATCAAGTCCAAACACACAAGCCAGTATGCAAGATTAGGACCTTCTGTCCTTTGAATATGTTAGCCTGTGGACTGGAGATAATCTGATGAAGTGCTTTGGACTTGCAGGAACTGGACCTTCTAAGACTTTGACAAGATGATTTGCTGAACTTTCATGTGGTTTTAAGTCTCCTTAAATCCATTTTTAGCCACCAGTTTGGGTTTTTTTATTTTATGTTTATGATTTTAGCTTTCACTAAATATCTGAGTACTGAACTAGTTAACATGAAGCAATCACAACTACCTATAATGTCAACTTTATTTAAAGAGGTTTGGGTTTTTTCTTCTATGACTTTTTTTTTTCTATATGAGACTTTCATACTGAAAGCTGCATCTTCTTATATTTCTTCTTAATACACCTGTTAGAGACATATCAGAGAGTATTAAAATGTGTTACTAAACTATTTTTTCTTACCAACAGTGCTATGAACAGTGCTTACAGAAAGCTGCTTCAGTCCATTCAGAGGATCATTTACCATGAAGGGTTTGATGGCTCTGATCCCCAGGTACTGCAGACCCTCATACTCTTCTATAATCCTGTAACTAATGTTGTTCTCTGAATTTTCAAGTGTGGCACAAGAAGATCTTGGACAAAGTAACAAGGAACAAGCTGTTTCTAAGCATTACTAAAGTAAACAAGAAAAATAAATAGTGGTTCATGTTTTAATGTGCTTTTGGAGTTTTTACCTGTTACAGATATGTAGACCATGTGAGAAAGAACTGTAAGCCAGCATTAGTAAAGTGCATATTCTGTGCAATTAGCTAATAAATGGATTGCCAAATATGATGTAATTGAGCAAAACACATTTTCCCCTACGGTATTTTTTCAAACTATTGCTTTAGCAATAGTGTGTTCAAAACTCTTCAGATTGAACATTTAATCTTAAACTTTCAGATTTTTTCAATGTTGTTTTAACTGGAGTGGAGTGAAATTTTTAATTAATTAAATGGTGTGCATCTTTATGTAGTTAGCATTGAAACACAAGTAAAGAAGTAAGAATGCTATTTCAACTTACAAATCAAAACAGCTTACCAGACTTGTCATAAATCATACTGTGGGTAATCAAAAGCATTTTAAACATGACAACATACACTGAAAGCCCCTTTCTAATCTGAGCAGTGCCCTATCTATTATTCTTTGTCATATTCAGTAATATGTGAGTCCTCTGGAGTTGATGGAAATAAAATAATAAATTCTATGCATTGATGCTTAATTGATATGTAATTATTGTTGTACAATAGAAAAGTTACTACAGTAGAAGTTAATTAGTATAGATGCTGGAGAGCCTCAAAGAATATAATACAAGGCTTTGTACTATTACCAGTTGAATATATTAGAAATCATTTTTGCAGTGAAGATGATGTTGGAATGGCTGCTTTCGTGTCTAACAGTATGTTTTAGAAATGTTACCTGCACAGAACACTTGTGTGTAAATTCGGGTTATTTGTGCTCAGTGTTTAGTCTCTGCTGAGATTTATGGGAGAGCTTGTCTTCCCTTTGGTGGCAGTGCCAGTCTGGAGAAGTAAATTGGTCCCTGACAGGCACCTCTCCCCACTCGCAGTGGTAGCCATGGCAACAGTCATGTCATCCTACCCACGGCACTGCGCGCAGAGATAGATGCTCCTCCCGCGCCGTGACAGGTCCTGTGGAAGCCCGAGAGCTTGTCAGCTGCAAAGAGCAGCGCTGAGTGAAACAAACACCCTGCCAACCTTCAGCCAGCAAACAACCCCCTACTACAGAGATTAGGCTGGTGTTTCTTATTTTTCTTTATATATTCCTGAATATATTTTTCTATATGTAGAAGAATGTGAAGGTTGGTCAGAGCCAATGTTTTTGGGTTTTTTGCTTTCAAGCAGGGAAAAATTAAACAGCATGGATAGCTATTTTCTGTACTTGTTCATTTTTTCAAGATGTCTTACTAGTGTCAGTAAAGCAAAACCAGAAATTTTAACTCAGATTAATTTAAAAGTAGATGTTTACTAAATGACATATATGAGTTTCCGAGGTGAAGCTTTAAAAGTCAGAAAAAGAGCACTTTTTCAGTCCAGTTTATCCATCTAGAAAGCCATTAGCACCAGCTTAGTTGTTTCTATTTCAAGAAGGATAATGCATATGATTTCCTGGAATGGTTTCTGTTACTTTCTTTTAAGGTTCCTCTTTTCCTCATGCATCATCTTTCTTTGTACATTCAAATTTTGTACATTTAGAAGCATTATATAATATGCACTTCTTAAAAATATGTTCAGAGTTGAATGTAATTATGGCCTAAGAACATTATAAAATACTAAAATAAGTCCAGAGTTGAATGTAATTATGGCCTTGGATCTTTTTATCTTCCTTATCTATGAGAAAGTCACCTCTCTGCTATTCCGTATCCTCTTCCATTTACTGAGCCTTCAGAAGTAGTTTTTAAGTAGCTAGATATGAAGATTGTAGAGTAAGGACCAGCCTGTACTCTTTGAGACCTGTGTCCTTTCCTGTATGTAATAATAATATAAGCTTCTGAGAACTTTGTGCATGTATGCTCTTCCGCCCCGAATAATCCTTTCTATTTTGGGTGGATCCTATCCGTGATGGCTTTCATGAATCTTGGAGGAAACTGCAAGGGCCAAAATGTAGCCAGGAGGTACTGAACTTTCAAGGGATTTACTTACTGACTTTAAGTAGGTCCATTAATCACTGTGAATGACAGAAGCTGATGCCATTAATGCTTCATTTTTTGTACTGTGAAGTATAATCCTTCCAAAATCTCTAGACTGTGGAGGTCTAGAAATGTGTTGCTTGTTGGATCTGGATTCAAATAAAAGGTTTAAGCTGCCTTGTAAAATTTTCAGGTATTTTTGGCTACTTTCATATCAATACGCCAGTGATACTTACCACTCCTTTTTACCTGTCTTTGAAGAGGAGTCTGGAGAAAAGTGAGCGGAATGTGACCCACCCCAGCTGACAGAGGCTTGACACAATTAGGAAAATTAGTGAAAACTACCGTTAGAGATTTAGTAGACCTCTGATAAAATGGTCAGACATCTCTAGGACCTAGTATGATTAGTTAACATCAGTATAGTGTGACCATCTGTTGTTGGCTGTCATAGATTAATATTTCTTGACTGTCCTGCATGACTTGGTAGGTCTTGGGACAATAATTCCTGTTTGAGGTATTAGGCTACAGAAAAGTTTGGTTGAAGTTAACCAAAGCAATTATCTATTTGTTTACACTGACTGGTGTGGCTTTGCCAAGATGATTTGGAAATTCAGGGTCTGAATGACGTATAACCTAGAAATACAAGCATCAGTTTTACATCTTTTCTAAAACCTCCTAGTAACTCTTTGCTGCTGATCATTGAGTATGAATCCTTTATAAATTGAGCATGGTTTTACATCATACAGAATAGCACTTGTTTGTTTCAGAATACGTTGGGGTTTTCATGTTTGACTACAGAGCTTTCATAGGCAACTATATTTTCTTAGCATTTCTCTAGTATACTTTGGAGCTCAAGTTGGGTGACTTTCACGGTAATAAAGTTGGAGGGGACTGGTTTTTTGTTTGCTTGGAGTTGGATTTTTTAATTCTTCATAATTGGAATTCTTGCTACAAGAGCAAACATTGTTACAAAAATTACATGAAAAAGGTAAAAACAAATCCAACCTTCCAAACTAGTTAGATTATAAAAGATCTAGTAGTATATCTACTAGATAGATGTTATGCTACTCCTTACTGCAGGCTTGTTGCAGAATATTAGACTTAATGCTTTTCTTCTGTTTCAGTCATGGAATAAGCTGTTTGTCAGGGCCTTGAGGGCCTGACAGAATTATACCAGTAGAAATTTTGTTACTGGCCAAAATAAATACATCTGATATTATTGGGTGTTCAAATAGCTTGATCTTTTGCAACTCTTATGATTTAATATTGTGCAACAAGCATCTGTCATCCTTTATCCACTAAGTGAACTGATACTCTAATACAGTTTTTTTCTCTTTTTGTATGTTGTTCTTATGGATGTTCTTCATAAGAAAAAGATACTTTTCTCATTTAAAAAGTTTCTTTAAGTTTCATGCGTGTTTGCTCTGAAATTTTGAAATACCAAAACACTTTCTCTGCATGGTCAATGTCCATTATTTTTGGATAAAATAGTTTTCTTTAATGTTTGATTTTGTACTATTGCTTAAACACATGTCAAGAAATGCATGAATCTGTTCTTATGGAAGTCACTAAAGAATATTAGACTAGCTTCTATTTTTCCCATTATTTTTAAAACTCTGAACATCTGAGCCTAACAAATATCATACAGAGAAGTCGGATTGTGTAGTGTTGTACTGTACTATTATCCTAACCTTCATACAGTAGTGTAAAAAGTTAACTTATACCTAAGTAAAGCCTAAAAGCCTGCAAAGCCTGAGACTAAGGAATCTGCCAGAGTTAAAACATGTATCACTTCCACAAAGACTGTAAGCAAATTGGCAGATGAGCTCACTGTGTAAGCTCTGAGAGTTGGATAAATGCAGAACCATGTGGTGCTAACTGTGTTTCACAACTCAGGCTCTGTCTACCCAATATGGAGAAAAAAGTATTTATAAGAGTAGCTTCTTGTCTTGTCAAAACGTTTCCTCTGGATTTCCAGAGCAGCTGTGCAATGTTTTGTGCTTGCTAGTTACTGTTCATTCCAGCTGGTTGGAAATTACTATCTACAATTTATCAAAGCACTTTGCTGTAAAGAAAAGTACCTGGAGGCTCTTACTTATCTAAACTAGTATTTTGTGTATATAAATATATAAAAGATGGCCTTTAAGTATGAATCCTGAACTCTAGAAATGTATCTTTGGTCACCATGTACAGGAAGTCTTTCTTTCAACGAGGGTGCTTATTGTCTCTCTCTCAGCTATTGATAGCAAATATACCTAAAATCCTTCTCAAAGATCACTAGGAAAGGTCACATCAAATAAGCAGAAATTAGATTTGTCATCATGAGAGATGACATTTTACTTTGCATGAACAAATTACAACTCTGGCTTCATAATCTACCCCTTCAGAAAAGGGGCTTTATCTCAGCTGTTGCCTCCATTGGATGCTCTTCTGCCAGTGTACTGCAAGGCAGCAGTCTTTAGGTAGGTAACACACGAGGCTTTTTAGGATTTTACATGTCACAGCAGCGTAGATTCTAGTACCCAGTAGCTAACTAAAGCAGATCCAGAAACACTCATGTCAAGGACTTTCAGGAAGGTGTAGTCTGTAAGAGACAATCTGCTGATGTCTCCATCAGACACTCTTTATCCATAGCTGTGGGTAAACCTTCCTTCATTAGTTGGAAGGAGTTGACAGGAATGTAGATGATACTTACAGAGACTTCTAAACTAGTGAAAGGGCCGTGCACTGGTGAGGTAGGCCACTGGCCTTGTTCATTTAGAAGTAGCAGAAAAAGTGAAACTGAAGCAAACAGAATAGTCAGCTTATGAAAGTAACATGGCAGAAAGTTGAAAATAGAGGGAAAAGTTGTGTTTTGTTACTCTCAAACCCTTGCAGCGGACCAGTTTGGAGCTGGGAGAAAAGATTCTTTTGCATGCTTTTTAAGGCAGTGATGAAAGAGAGAAAGGGCTTGAAAAATGATGGTAAAAAAGTTGGATTTTTTGTCAGAATATGCTTATATTTAGCTGGTTTAGAAATGCAAATTAGTAGTCTTCATTATTTCTGTGCTGTCTCTTATGCTTGTACTTGCTTATCTGACATAGCATGATATCCAGTCAGTGAAAAAACCACCATTCCATTTGTAATTTTTATAAGATCATCTGAGATTAAGCTATGATTACGTAAACTGTGTAATTATTGTGGATAAGAATTCTATAAATTGTATTCTTTTAAATACATTACATTACATTTTCCTCTTACTGTTTAAAAAATAACAAGTGGCGCTTTTTTTTTTTCAATAGAAAAAACAAAAGAATATTTTGCGGATAGGAATTCATAGTCTGGGTTCCATGTTGTGGGGTGATGACATCTGTAGCAGTGATACTCCTGAAGATGTTCACAGCCTTACGAAATTTCTGTATGTTCTCCGTGGCCTCCTCAGAAAATCTTTGTCAGCCTGCATCATCACAGTGCCTGCTCACCTTATCCAGGTAGGAATACTGTCTTTGCTGTATTTCATAGCTGACACATCAGTTAGCAAAAATGTAAAGTTTATGGTAAGAAATAAATGCAATTTTGGACATTTTGAAAGCTCTTTTTGTTCAAAGGGCAAAGTTAAAGCGTAACTTGATACAGTCAAGTTTTATATTGTGTCTATAATTTGTGGGACAGTTGTGCTGCAAAATCTACAGACATACAATTAAAACCATCTTAGATACAGTTATGTTTTATGTGGGTCTTAGTCTTTTTTGGAAAACTACCAAAATTTGAGAAACTGTAAAAAAGTAAAAGGAATCCTGCTGTTAATCTTTTTTTTTTCTTTTTTTTTAACACCATCCCTACATGCTTTCCCTTCAGAACACTGTTTAGAGTTTCAGTACAAGACATTTCAGTCCACCATCTTCATCTGTCATGCCCATTTTGATGATGCATGATCATGTTTTTAAAGCTAGGAATTGAAAGATACAGGTTTCAGGTTTACTCTTTAGTTCTAATATCCCCTTGTATTGGGACCAGGAGCAAAACACTTATGGCAATTTTCCCAACTGCAAAATCAGAAGCTGCTAACAGCACCTTTCCTGAGAGTATATGGAGACTTAACTGTATCTTCTGGAAATAAACTTTTTTAGCAAAAAGGAAAATGTAGGTAGTCTTTTTTTTTATGCAAGTGGTAATGTCACTTACAGAAGTAAAATTATTATTCACAATGAACAGAGAACCTATAATTTTAGATATTAAATTGATTTGTAGTAAAAAGGTACTGGATAAAACCTCATATTATGCAAAATATTTGCATAGTAGGTGAGTTTCTCATTAGATAAATCCTATCTTAGGTAAGTATATGACTCTCACTTATGTATTGTGTTTTGTAATGTTGTTTCACTACCTGCAAATATTATTTATCTAGATACCTGATGCACTTTAGTGCTTAAAAAATAAAGTAAGTTGATTTTCTAGTTTTAGCATTGCAGTCAAAAGTGTATGAATATATTCCTCTTGCAGTGCAAACCTCCATCTCCTTATTTAGCTATTTTTAAATATTAGGTGGCAGTTTGTCTTCAAAAAGATTTACAGTAAAATTTAAAGCAGTTAATAGAATTTATGAATGTAAAACTAGCATCCTTCTTTTTACACACTAGAATTACCTGTCAATAATTGGGACATACAGTCAGTTTCATTGTACTCTTTTTTGTATATTGTATCAATAAAAGGTATGATCATATTTTAGAGAAGTCCAGAAACATCTCCAAGAAACAAACTGAAGGATGAAGTTTTTTGTTTGATGCAAACTTACATGGGAAGTTGAATTTGGGTTTGTGTTTATAAATTCCATATAAATCAATTCCTATGGAGTTAGGGTTGAAATTCTATCTCATTTTTTAATATTTTTTTTTTATTTTAACAGAATTGTTTTATAGTAAGTGCTAGAATATTCTAAATAAAAAAAAAAAGAAACATTATTTCCAGAGTCTTTGCTTAGTAGCCTCAAACAAATGAGAGCATTAATTTTCTTTAAAATTGTTGAATTTCAAGTATCCTTCTTTAAGCGCTAAACTATGGAGAAAACTGTCATTAGGAGGAGCAAAGCTGCTGAGGGTTCCTTATACCCCACATTACTCAGTTCCCAGAGCCCTGCTGTGTAGTTGTTCCACTCTCCAAGAAGCCTGTTAAAGAGCCCCTGAGAGCATGTGTACAGCCCTCCATGTTAATAGTTAATTGGTGAGGATGGCAAGATGAGAGGACAGCCGAACATGTGGTCTCTCAGGCTCAAGCCGTAGACAGACCTTTAGTTATAATAACAGCAGCTGCTCACATTCTCACAACCCAGCTACTCACCATACTGTTGCTGAGGTTTCTTGCTGGATTAAAAAAGTAAAGAAAATATCTTTTCTCTCCAAGAGAAAGAGAGAGAGGGATTTTTTTTTTCCAAGTGCATTTCTGTATATGTATTTAATTTGATCAGTGTAAGTTCTAGCATATGCTTTCTCTGTTGAATGTTAATGTCAGTACACTGAAGACATAGAAAATGTGCACTATTTTTATGAAGATGTAGTAAATTCCACATTTATTCCCTGAACTACTGTTTCTGTATTTTCTATGTTCTTTTGCCTCCCAACTGTATTAATTCAGTGGTCTACAAGTAAATTCTTCACATGAATAATTTCTGTGAAGGTAAATAAAAGTTCAAAATCACATTTTAATCAAGATTTTGTCTGCATAACGTATACGGAAAAATAGTTTCATTTTTACCTGCTTTGTCTTGAAAAAATAGATTTTTAGTAGTGATTCATACCCTATCTTGTCTCTGTCATCCCCCAGTACTAGTTACTCTAGTGAAGAAGAAATAAAACTCACAACTGGTAGTACTGATTTTCAACAGGGACGATACCTTTCCAACCCAGACTACTTATATTTTTTATATGTAGTATATGAATATGTAACATACATATGTAATATGTATCTCAAATATATTTATATATTTTATACATATAGTTTGGGGTTGGTTTCTTTTATATATTTTGTTAAATACGTCACATGTTGTACTGTGGGAGGGAATTCCAGAAATGAAGTGTACCTGCTTTTTTTCTTTTTCAGAAAGTTTAATTTTATCCTTACTTTTCATGAATTACATCTTTGTTCTTGGCTGGCGAAACAATAAGATGAGGCTCCCTGGTTTATCTTTTATGTATTCTGATTTTTTTTTTTTATTTTTCCTCATGCTGCCTCTTTAATCTGTTTTAAACAGTCATTTTCTTTTAATCATATTTTTCTTGGTTAGAGTAACATAATACAATAATGCTATTATTATTTGTTCACTTTTCCTACATTCTAATATCTGTTTTCTCTCTTTGATGGCTACTGAACATTAAACAGTGATTTTGTTCTTGGTGCTTTTCCCTCTGTGATACACATCCACCAATGTGGCTCTTTTATTATTCCAGCTATTCATTATCTTGGATTTAATAACTTTGAATTGCATTTATCCAAAGCTGATGCTCATTCACCGTTTGATGGGACACTGAATGTCTTCACAGTCTTCTGTGAGGCTATATTTTGTTAAAAGACGCAAATTTACAAAAAATCTATTTGCATACAGAGTTTTTCTGAATAATTTAAAGAAACTGTAGTCCACTAAAGAACACAGATTCTTTGTGTTTTATTGATGAAACTTCTAGTGCAAACAGTGCATGAAGAAAAAGGGAAGTTCTCTTTTCTTAACCACAGAAATAGGAATACATTATTCTGGAAGAGGATTTCAGGAAAATGACACTAAAAACTTATTCAATTATGAATTTTATTCAGATGATGTGTGACAAGTTTTACTTGATTGATATTTTCTACCAATTGAACATACTCTTATCTTACACTGTCTGTCAGGTAATAAATATTGAGATCCTTACGAGTATGATTAAAATAGTTGATGGAAGGTTATTTTTCAAGTCTTTCTACTGCTTATTGAAAATGCATTGTGCCTATGAAATCAGATGGTGCATTTGAAAAAGGAAAATTACTTCCATTTTTAAAATCCAGCACTGATTAAGGAGGGCAGACTGAAGAGAGATTTCATTTGTTGTTACACTTTCCAAATTTAAGGAATATTATAAAAACAAATAAGGACTCTTCTTCTGTATGTTGATAATCTGTGCATTTTAGTACCAGATTTTAAAGAAAAAAACCTTTTTGTGCTACGGAGTGTGACTTAAAGGACTTTAATGTCACTGTTTTATCCTTCCAAAAGCCCTAAATTAGAATTTAAAATATTTTCCTATTTTATTTTCTTCTTTTTTTTTAATTGCTAGAAATCATTGGTAAATCCAAAAACATCTTTCCCCCAAAATACTAAATAATGTTTGTAATTCTGTTGCTATTCTTCCCAATTTTGTATCAATTAAGTAGTAATTTTTTTAATAGATTATTATTTTCACTGGGAGAAAGTGTAACACTTTTATTAAAGCCATCCTTTATTTTTAACTTGAAGCTGTATTACTGGTAAGGACTAACAACCATATTAGTCAGCATGTACCAAGGGAAATTAATTGACTAATGAAAAGTCAGTATGAATAAGTCTTGCTACAGAACCTGTCCTCAGAGTCTGAAGTTCTGTTTAGCAAGGTATTTTCATTATTTCATCTGGTATGTATGTTAAAAAATTAATTTCCTACAATATTAATGTTTTGATGCTTTGAATTCACTGAAGTGCCTAAGTTACTGTATGTTGCAGTGTAGAAAAATTCAGAAACAAACCTTTTCACATCCATAGCTTTTTGTGTTCACACTGAGTAATTTGGCAGCTAAACTCGAAGTCGAGCAATAGAGTGCTTTAGAATCCATCGCTAATATAGGATTATAAGATGTGAACTCCTATAGCTTGTGAATTTCTCACAGTTTGAAATCTTTATTCCTATAACAAGAGCTAAGAGTGATTGCCTACCTTAGAACTCTAACTTCTGAGAGTTCACAAGTGTAAAATGCTGAATAACCTTCTAATGTTGGTAGCCGCTGCACACAGATTCGTATTGTATTTCTATCAAATGTCATGTAGTTTGTATATCATAGTTAAGCAAGCTTTTGAAATTCTCTGCAAAATAGAAACTATGAAGATGAAATGGTCTTTATGTTTTTCTATATTGGAGTTTTTTTGCTTGCTTTTAAATGTTGCATGCTGCTTTTTTATGTGTGTGAGAAGTGCGGTTTAACAGTCATACAAAGAAATACTGAGAATTATGAGTTTATGACAGGTATTCTTGGGTTATCCACATAGTTTTCAGATATGAATATTCTGGTTTGGATATTCTAGACATTCATAAAAGCATCTTTAAAATTATGATCAAGTATGAAGCTCAGAGAAGTATACGATTCAAAAGTTAAATTGTGGGACAGTAAGTAATTTTGTTTTCATTTTCTATTTGTTGAAAGTATTTTCTGATCAAGTTGCAGAAGAAATAGAAATATTCTTCTGCAACTGTTTCATAAAATAAGCTTATGGTTG